TGTTCAGTGAATGCTATTTCTGCCTGCATCTCGGAATCTGTCTCTGAGGCCTCTCTGAATAATCTGCACCACAGGTCCTGTCTAGTGTGGTAGACCCTTGCTTCTATGGATCTGGTGCGGAATGCCTATTCTTGTGTTGCTGTGATCAGTGTCTTTTAGTGCAGCCCCTTCCAGCCACTGTTAGAATTTCCCAGTGTCAACTACCTCAGGTATCTGTCAATGGTACATCCTATGTAGGGTCTTTCTTGGCTTGCTATCAGTGTTGGGTTCCGGATCCCGCTTCAACCGGTACGGTTGGAACGGGCCCAGCGTCACCCACATGAACACACATGACGCGGGCATGCATCGTACCTACTTGCAATGCCTCCGCAAGCCTCCACGAAGCTCCAGCTGCTTAGTGGAGCGTTGGGCAGGCACTGTACGTGCTATGCACGTGCGTGGAAGCGCCAAAGGCCTAAAGGACAGGTAAGGAGCTCGGGCGTGCGGGTGGGCCCTCCGGAGCACTGGACCCGACTGGTCAGACTTCGGTACGCCTGTACTGCCTGCAACCCACCACTGCTTGCTATGGCTTTTTCCTCTATTTGATCTTCCTCCCATGTCTGCTACTGACTCGGGAATTCTCTCTGCAACTCATCTCTGAGTGCCATTTTACTGTTGTACTCCTGCAAACTCTGGGTTTCATCCAGGACAATGGCCTTGACACTCACCAGACCCCACCCACCCTCTTTCCAGTTGGTATACAGTCTCTGGGCTTTGGACTTGGGGTGGAAATGTTCATAAATTGTGAAAGAGTTTCTAGGTTTTCACATTGGTAGCGTCCATATCTTTCTTTGACCAGCTCATATGCAGCAGGTTATCTGATGATGGCAGGGCTTTGGCCTGATGGTGAAAAACTTGATCTTCCTAGCTCTTAGGGACCTAACTTATCCTTCAGGGGTAGTTGGATATTGTTGTCTTCCTTGCTTTCTCATCATGATTTCCATGAAACTGGGATATCTAGGCACTTGTGGCTGGTCTATATATTTCTTATGTAGACCAATGGTAGTTTCAACCCAACAGTTTTAACTATCTTCTTTCTCTTGACTACCATTTGGCCAGATTCCTTCAGTCTGAATAAACAGTCCAATGTCCTCACTTAGATGATCACCTTAGCATATGCCATACTTGATAGCCACTTGTGTCAACTGCCTCAAGTTGACTTCTAATGTTGTCTTTTATAGTCCCATTGAATTCTTGTGAAAGGTCCTTAGTGTTTGTTGACTTTATACAGCATCAAATATTCACAGATCCATATGTGTGGCATTGAGTCATAGGCTTTCCAGTAATCAATACAGACACAGTGTTCAGATTAATCTGTCTTGAGTGACTACCTATGAACCATTGGAGTTTTGAGCCGCTGATGTTGTTCTCAATGTGTGTGCATGCACACACAGTGATCTAGATAATGAACTTTGTTGTAAACTATAACTATTTGCTTTTGATCTCTGCAGAAGAATTCTTTGCTTCTCCAACTAAAGCATTCATTTTCTTTCCAAGAACCTGCTTAATTATCCTTTCTTTCCAACACACAACAGATTTAAAAGTAGGAAGTAAATCCAATTACTACATAATATTGGCCCATAGATATAATAATTTTGGTTACATTATTTGTTTGTACTGTATGTAATTAAAGTATCTGATCTAACTGAAAATGTACACTATGCAGATTATTTTTAAGCAAGAACTCTTCCAAAAATCATAACAAGAACAAAGTTTCAAATGTACTGTACAACAAAATTATCACACACCCATAAATACAAATATAAATATAAAGCCTGTACAGGTAGTCCTTGAGTAACAGCAGTTCGTTTAGTGACTGTTCAAAGTTACTAAAGCACTGAAAAAAGTGACATGACTGTTTTTCACTTATGATGGTTATAGCATCCCCAAGGTCATGTGATCAAAATTCAGATGCTTGCCAAATCGGTTTCCTGTTTATGATGGTTGTAGTTTCCCAGGGTCATGTGATCACCTTTTGCGACCTTTTGACAATCAAAGTCAATGGAGAAGGCAGATTCATTTAACAACCAAGTTACTAACTTAAAAACTGCAGTGATTCACTTAACTGACCCAGGAAAGGTAGTAAAATGGAGCAAAACTCAAATGTCTGGCTTAGCAACATAAATTCTGGGCTCAATT